ACTTGAAAAATTATAATCACAGCAAGTTTGGGAAACATCTTGCCCCACTCTGAGCATAAGATAAGAGACAAACAAAATTCTTGCAGACATTTTTGTCCAATACTTTCCTTCAAAAGATAAGGATACCAAGACACACATAAATATAGATATGTGATTCCTACAGATATGGCTCATGAACCAGAAGTCACAGGAGAAGATCTGGGTCTGATCTCTGGCACCACACACACAAACTGGCATGGTAATTTGTGAAGCGGAAGGTTTGTGACCTACATGAGGATGCTTTGGGGTGGGAGCACTTTGTGGTTGGGCCATCGCTCCCAGCACTGCCAGGAATACAGAAGAACCTAGTTCTCCTGAATGTAAAGCATGCACTCAACCCTTTGAGACCTTTCTCTCTCTGGTCCTGGAAATTTATTTTTAATAGACCACTTCCCTCATTACAATGGGTAGTCCTAGGAAAAATGCTGGAAGTGTTTTTGAGTCGTTCTTACTTATGAAAACAAGACAATGATTTTGCCAAATGTTATGAAAAAAAAGTTTCTGGAGACCTTCCAATACTCAAATTCCTAACGACTGTCAGGTCATCATTGTGAACACTGAAATGATTTCTTCACCTGGCCTTGTTTTGTGTTTGTGTGGGGGCATAACTACTGGTTCTTTTCCCTCAAAATGTGGCAGTTTTTGAAAGGTCAGTAACTTGAAGATAGGGGGAAGGCACAAATCTTTTTAAAAATCTAATGAAGGCTCCAAGCTATAAAGCTGTTTTAGATCCTTTGAGAATAGTCTGAAATGAATTATCTGTTTTTTTCAATCACAAAATTTATTCTTTACTACTAAAATTTTTTAATTCTGCTTTTTTGCATGACTGGGCATTTAGACTCAAGTGTAGAAGATGGTCTCTGTGTTTTGATTTACCCAACGAAATCTTTAGGAGACAGCACTTTAATATAAATTCTGTATGTACACATTTGTGTGTGCATGATTTGTATGATGGGTGTGTGTGTGTTAGCTATTGATGACTTCTGTACAGGTTCTCATTGGTTGATGAATTAGAGTTGGAGGGATTATAAATAATAGGGCAAGGGGACCTCAGAGATAGTATAGAAGGTAAGGCTCATGTCTTACATGCAGGCGACCCCGTTCAAACCCTAGAGCCATATATGGTGCCCTCAGCACCATTACAGTTGACTCCTGAGCAAGAGCCAGGAATGGCCCCTGAGCACCGCCAGGTATGACCCCAAACTCCAAGTGCAGACAATAACAATTCACTGTAGAAAATTGAGGGGGGGATATTCACTAGGAATTTCATTAACTAGAGAGCTCCAATATTAACATTACACGTATATCCTAGCCTTTTATCAGCTAATGCTCAGGTTCACTCTGGCATTCCTCCCAAAATGTTTTTGACTTTGTAACACCATGGTTTTCAGATAATGGGAGTGCAAGAAGGGACACTTGAGTGATTTTTGAGGGGGAAACAAAATGAACCTAAGGAAATACCTCTTCTGTTAAAAAAAAAACTCTTTCAAGAATTCAAGTGTTTCTGGTGTGTTTTATGTCTTAACTTAGCTTAAATACTTTAGGGGATAAGAATGGCAGTAATGGTACTTAATTTTGTAAGCTATCTCAGGGATGCAGACACATAATAAATCAAATCAATCATTCCTGTGTGCCTGGCAATAGTGAAAGGAAGAATGCCTGCTCTCTAGGAACCTAACAGGTTCTTTCTAGAAATGTAATGGTTTATTCTGGAAGTATCGTACAAGCAACTATCTATCCCTGGGAAAGACTATCAACTGATATAATTGTTGCATATGCATAGTAACGTATTTGGACATACTTTACATAGTTCATACAAATCAATGAGATTATATACAGGGCAAAGAGTAGTGTTACACCACACAACTGTGAACCCATATAAATGGTTTCTTTGCACCTGACTTCATAGCCCTGTGAAACATGGCTACTGATGCCACTCATCACGCATGATGATGTTTCATGTTTGGTGCTTGGTGCATACAGTAGGCTCTTAATAAATGAATGTCCCAATGACTCATTATTTGAATAGAAGGTAACTCAAGTATTATAACAAATACAGGAAACACCTATTCTGAATTCAACATCTAATTAATTCACTTCCAAGTTGTTCTTTTTTTCAAGGATAGCAAGGGGCAGACTTTCAAAGGGGGTTGGAATTTACTACGTATTTTATGATGGTCACATTTTATTATATCTTAATTATCTCAATTGAGTTGATTAATGAAAGCAAAGGTATGTTATGAAAGAGTTCTAAATTCCCTGGCAATTGTAAAACCCCATTATCTTACAAAAGTCAGGTGATTTGCTCAAGGTCACACACCATGCCAGATTATAAGTCTTGAGTTTACCATTAAATTCAGACTAATGAGAAAACTTTAGAAACAGGATGACAAGATGTGTATTTCATTCCTATTGAAGATGCAAATATCTATTCATTGATAGTTCATAATTAGCTTTTCATCAACTGTGTTTGTGATTTCTCATTACAGAGTAATTATAAGCAAGCCAGTAGAGAATACATGCAATGAAACAGAAATATGGCCATGCTTCATTGCCATTAGGTGAAAAAAGTGGATGACAGAATACTCCAACTTTTGTAAAAATGAAAACTGAAACTATCTTCTAGATTATGAAATATCAGTTAACTCTAAGAGATGTTAGATTCTTTTAGAGATGAGTTGGTTCTTTTTCATTTATTACTTTATCAACATGTTTAACCTTCAAAATGAATGATCACAACTTCTCTAATAAATCACTGTCACTATCACTGTCCTACCATTGTTCATCGATTTTCTCGAGCAGGTACCAGTAACATCTCCATCATGAGAATTGTTGTTACTGTGTTTGGCATATCGAATGCGTCACGGGTAGATTGCCAGGCTTTGCCGTGCGGGTGGCATACTCTCGGTAGCTTGCTGGGCTCTCCAAGAGGGGTAGAGAATCGAACCCAGGTCAGTTGAGTGCAAGGCAAACGCCCTACCTGCTATGCTATTGCTCCAGGAGAAAACAGGACATAAAAAAATAATCCGTCATTTCTCACAAGAACATGCAAACCCACACTAAAAGTTCAAAAACTAAACAGGCAATTTATTGAACATGTATTTTTAGAGTTAAAAAATGAGGTGAAGAAATAATAATTGTAAATGAAAGTAAAACTTTTATAACTAGAGCTCACTGTGATTATGGTAGGAAAGACGATGAAGGAACTGAGTTTCTATAAACCAGAATTTACAATCATGAAGTCCACAAACAAATTTAGATTTGCTCTTTCTTGACAGATTTCTAACTTCTCTAGAAAAATCTGAAGTGCAGAGAGCCCTGGGCTAGAACAACCAGCACAGCTGCTGCCCACTTCAGATGAGCTCCTTCACTTTCTCATTTGCCCAACATTATAACCATGTTAGCTCTCCACTTCTGGTCTAAACAATGCACCATTTAAAGCCAGAGACCTTCTGGAGGGGCTGAAAATGTAGCACTCGAAAATGAGTTGATTCTGATTTCCTTTAAACTTTTAAAGGTAGGGGGCTGGAATGATAGCACAGCGGGTAGAGTGTTTGCCTTGCACGTGGTCGGCCCGGGTTCGAATCCTCCATCCCTCTAGGAGAGCCCGGAAAGCTACCTAGAGTATCCCATCCGCAAGCTCCCCATGGCGTATACTATATGCCAAAAATAGTAACAAGTCTCACAATGGAGACATTACTGGTGCCCACTCGAGCAAATCGATGAACAACGGGAGGAAAGTGCTTTAAAGGCAGGTATGTGGCTCTGTATGCATGGGCACACATGTACACCTAACTGCTAGAATGAAATAAAAATATGATTTGAAATGTACTTGCTATCTCTGGGTAGCAGAATTGTACATGGCATCCTTTTCATGAAAAAAATGTTTATTTTTTCCTATTTTCTAGAAGAAATTTATATCATTTTAATTTTGGGGGGAGGGGTCACACCCAGCACTGCACAGGGGTTACTCATGGGTCATGCACTCAGGAATTACTCCTGATGATGCTCGGGAGACCATATGAGATGCTGGGAATTGAACCCTGGTCGGCCGCATGCAAGGTAAACGCCCTACCCGCTGTGCTATCTCTCCAGCCCCAGAAATTTATATCATTTATAACTACAATAGTTTAGGAAAATATTTTTGTTGGGGAATATCTCCTAAATCCCATTCTTTACTATTTCTATCAGTACAATTTCATTATCTGGAGGAAACCTATGATTTAACATTTGTAAGCATATTCATTTCAAAAATGCTAGAATTTTTTTAATTGTAGAAAAAATAGAACTAACTTAAAAATAACAGAAGCGAGTAATATCATAGGAAGTTACATTTCAGGTTCTACCCCAACAGATGTAAAATGGTATAGAGCAGACTTGTCAAGTATATAAAGGATAGGTGGTTTCTCCTTATTTGGAGGCTATATATCTGCTACCAAATGTCCTAGCTAGAGGGAGGGATAAAACTGTCAGGCTCTCACACAAACACAAAAGCAGCCTTAGCAGAGAAATCATTTAAATGTTCACACTGATTATCTGACAGGGTTAGGAATTATGAGCACCAGAAAGACTGCAGATAATCCCCTTCACACAAAATTCGTGGTTTGGCAAAAATCTTGGTCTTGGTTTCACAAGGAAGAAATCAATAAGAACAACTTGAAACAGTTTTCTTTCCTGGTGGTTGAAAATGTTGTCAATTGCAAGTAATTTTTCCCTCCTTTTGGGGCAGCAGAGAAATCCACAAAGACCTTAGGCCTTCTCAGGTTATACTGAATCTTCAGGAATCATTAAAATGCTAAAACCTATTTTTCAGGGACCTAAGAAAGAAAGCAGCTGACCCATCAGTTTTGGATTGAAAGGCATCAGTCATTCACTTTTTAAATCACCTAGTGATATTTGTAGGCAACAGATTACTAGTACACGACCAACTACTTTATCCCCAAAGTTGCCCAAGTCCTTACCTAAAGACTGGTAGAGCTCTGTCATTTTAGGATGGTCCCAGCAAGTTGTTTGGGTCTCATGGCTGAAACATAAAATACAAAGAGAGACTTTAGGATTGATTATGAGTAGTAAAGAAAAAAATAATGCATGCTTTGCTCTGAAATCATTCAGCCAACATCATCACTTCAAAGGACTTCCGTCATGCAGTGAAAAACATTTATCTGAGAATCAAGAAAGGCCCCTACCTTGGCTTTTCAAGGGAAAGGCAATTCAAATATTATTCGGTGATCAGAATGGGCTGCGTTTTTTGCACCCACAACTCGCCTGTACTTCTATTACAAGAAAATGACCTTGTTCAAGTCATTGATAACTGACAATCAGGATTTTTTTCACCTGCCTGATAGAGAACATTCAGAAAGGACACTCACAATTGCCAAAGAGATCCTAGACATTAGTTCAATACAGAAACAATAAGTATCACAATGGAGATGTTACTGGGCCCACTCGAGCAAATCAATGAACAGCGAGAGGACAGTTCTACAGTACAGAAATAGCCACACTTCAAGCCGGAAAGTACAGCATGGGTAGAGCATTTGCCTTACATGTGGCCAACCAAGATTCTATCCCCAGCAGCACATATGATCCCCAAGCCAGGAGTAATCCCTGAGCTCAGAGCCAGGAGTAAGCCCTGAACACCACAGGGTGTGGCCCCCAAACAAAACAAGCAAAAGGAAATTGCCTCATTTCTCAATTGCTTTCAATGCCCCTGAGATTTTCCATGTCTTTCCTCCAACTACCCACATAGCAGATCCGTGGTACCTGTATTTCATTTCAGCTTAAGGTATGTGCCCAGTGCCAATCTCTGAATTACACCATCCCCCTTGGCATTACAGTAGAAGGACTTAACTCCGTGCTCTCTACACGACTACACCTTCCCCCCCTTTCCTCCACTTCCTATATTTACTTGGGCCTGAATGAAGTATTCAATTCCCGTCCATTTCTCCAAGTTTAGCTAAGTACAATCGCTGACTATCAACTCCTGCCACAAAAAAAAAAAAGAACAAAACACCTTTGTTCCTTGTTCAATTATATGAATACACTCTGGAGAGATAAGTACATATACTTTTCCTTACTTTGGCCCATCTACATAAATCATTATAGCATCATATTTCCAGTTGGTGGGGTATTATGAGACAGGTTTTGAGATAGCCAAATGTAACCTCAATCCCCCCTTCAGTGGGAGTATATACAACCTGTCCATACTCTGGAGTGTTAGAGTGGAGCGAAGAGAAATAGTTTAACTTTGGCTATTTCAAGGGCACCAGAAAGTACTGCATCTAAACCAGAAAGGGGAGTTTGTGGAGGCATTCATCCACATCCAGGGTCTTAGCAGAAGTTGCAAATAAGAGGAGTGGATTCTGGTTCTGTGCCCAACTACTTGTGAAATTTGGTGTTAATCTGCTCATGGAGAAGTGCCATGGGATTAATTAATACAGAGGAATAATCTGTATTTTGGGGTGCTCAATAACTGATCATTTCTCTTTATGTCCCTCAAACCACTGCTCATGAATAGTAAGGCTTTTATCACTTGATTATAATAGTGATATGGATCCATTTATGGTCAATCAGTCCAGACTAAGATCCTGGGTAGAGAGCAAAAGTCACTCGATATGCATTATTTCTAGATTTTAAAAAAATTAAAGCAAGGCTGGAGAGATAGTATAGCGGGAAATGCATTTATTTGCCTTGCATACGGCCAACCAGGGCTCGATCCTTGGCATGGTCTCCCAAGATCTGCCAGGAATAATCCCTGAGTAATCAGGAATAAGCAGAATCAGGAATAAGCCTTGAGCAACACTGGGTGTCTCTCGAACTCCACACCTGCCCACCCCCCTGCTATGTGCAAAAAATGTGACCTTTTCCCCTGCACCACCAGGAGTGAGCCCTAAAGACAGTAAGCCCTGATCACAGGTAGGTGAGGTGGAAAAAAATATCGCCCTCCAAACAAACTAAAAGGGAAGAAATACTTCTGGTTTGATAAACATAGGACTTCAAAGACCAGTTTTCGGATATTTACCATTCAGTGACTGAACAGTGCAAGCTTTTAAAACTCAATTTATAAGACGAAAATGTCCACTTGTAAAGGATTGCTTGTCTCTTCCAAAGACTTTCATTTGTTTTTACTTTTCCGCAGAGAAAGCTCCCATTTGATGCATGCAACAGAGTTTGTCGGTCCAGGGAGCGTACCCGGAGCTTAGACACCCAAGTCTTAACAAGCAGGAAGAGCGGAAGACACAGTGGCAGCTTGAACGGCTTTTAGGAAATCCCATGACCAAGCTGGATTCTGATCTGGAAGAAGGGGTGGGCGGGACTGATACTTTATATGCACAGCACAAGGAGGCTGCAGCTTTGCAGCTTCATGGAAAAAGTGTTGCTTGTTCTCGGGTGTTTTTGAGCTGGCAAAGTGATTGTGCACTGATCCTGTACACAGTTGCCAAGCCAGGAAAGGTTTTCTTCTAATGAGACCACCCTGTATTTAGGCCTTCATCCTCTCTGAAGACCATCCATATGTGAGCTTCAGGGAAGGAGGAAGAATGGGAGGGAAGTCTGTGTCTACTCTGTATAGACTGTTATCACACACACAGCGCAATAATAATGTCGCAGGTCCAGGACATATGGGAGGAACATTGTGTCTTCAACAGATCGGGAGAAAGCCTTCTGCTTCTGCGGACAAACCTGACCAGAGGCAATCAGAGAGAACCACCTAGGAAAATCACTATTTATAATACACTTCAATCAGAGGAACGTGGGCAGGAAATGAGCTTGTACCAAACACAATTCCTAAATGGAAGAGAAATTTGCATGCAATTGATAGGAGAATAGCACAGGGAGGGAATGGGAGCTTCAAGTACCACCTCTGATCAAAACCATGAATTAAACTCAAAATCAAAGAAAAAATTAAACCACTTCCACCCCGTCATGGCTGCTAATATATCTAGGTTCTACCTTTCTAATGAACTTATTCCAGTATATTAAATATTGTGAAAAGGGTACTAGCAATCATTTTTGAATCTGTCAGTCTTTATCTAAACTGCCACCTCCTTCACTGGAAGACCTAAGAAAAGTCGAAGGCTGTTTATGTTGCGAATGACTACAAGAAACTAGCCATTTCTAAGGCCTCCTTCTCCCTGTGATTCTGGAGAACATGAATAACCTAGATAACAGAACTCAAATAAATCCCAAAGCCAATCTTCTTATACCTTTGTCCCCTCCAACACACAACCCCTTCTTTTTAAGCAATGCAAAGTAGAAAGACATTTATATTTCACCTTTGCAGTCTTAGTTTCACTTCACTTGCAAACCAGCACTCACTGAGAGAGGTGAGCACAAGTGGAAAGGAGAAAAGAATAAAGGGTGTGACTGATATACAGAACTAGAAAAATATTCTTCTAATCACTGAATGCTAAAATTTTAGGTAGGCAGCTTAGCTGGCATGACTTCAGATTTGGGGAGTAATGGTGAGATGAAGCAATTATTCACTTCAGTATAGGTAGCACTTTCCATCTGGGTATTTTCTGATTGCTTTTATTATTTGATAAAGCCTTAGAGGTACCTCCCAGACAAAAAAAGAAAAAAAAAAGATACTCGGGAATGGGTGAAAGAGTAAACACAAATCTGTATAACTCCTATCTAGATTCTACCTTACCTAACAAACCAATTTTTATCTGTAATCAATATAGCTTTTACAGCTATATTTCTTATTCTGTGCCTGTCTTCAAAGCCAGTAGAGAATTTGTAATCACATCATGAAGAGCAGCTCAGGTTTGCTTGAAATATGCAGAAAAATAGAAAAATAAGCGAGGCTGGGGATGTAGTGGTAGAAAGGTGGGTGGTACTGTTTTTGGTAACTGTCTCTTCTTTTTTACATTTTACTTTTTCACATCGGAAATGTGCTCTCATATACCATATCCAACCAGAAGGAGATTGTGAAGCCTGTTCACACTTCAATGAATACGTCTTTGTTCAGTATTCCTGAGAACACTGATGCTCATCATAGATCAAAATTCTGATGTACATTAACACAAACTACTTTCATATACAATCTGTACAGTGCTCTTTAAAATCTTTGAAAATTTTTGACCCTGCCGATTCCAAAGCTTGGCATCAGATATACCTTTCTGAACTGCCTTCCAAACTCTAATTTCCTCTTTTGCTCTCTCTCTCTCTCTGTCATGTGTAGAAGCTACAGTAATCTCTTTTCCATTTTTGAGACCATGAAAGGAACTTGATGCAAATTAAAATACAAAAATCACTGGATGTGACAAAAAGACTCCAGCTACACCTACTTGTCAATAATAAGAAATTAAGGCATTACCCTACTGAGCACATGGCTGACCTAATTTCCTACCATACAATTTAAATTTTCTCTCACCTTCTTTAGTTTCAAGTAGTGTGCAAGGTTATAATAACAACCTTAGAGCTGTTCCTGCTGTCAGTGCTGGAATAATCAGACTTATTGGAATTGCTTTTTTAGTTTCTTAAAAACAAACATTAAACACTTATAAAAAAAGTAACAAATTTCTACTGCGCTTGCCTAGGGAAATGGCAGTTGCCTAATTAAAATGAGATTTCTTCTGCCACTACTGTTATTTGGTATTGAAAATATTCCAGTTGCCTTAAAAATATCATTCCACTACTTCCCAGGGAGGGAACAGTCCCTATACAGGAATATTAAAAGGTGGTATACCATTGCGACTCACAGAAAATTCGAGTTTGGTTTCATATACAATCTGAAGACACAGATTCACACACACACACACACACACACACACACACAATCATTTGCCTTTAATGCGGGGCTCAGAGTCTTTCTAGAGGAACCTTGGCATGTACATGCTGAATGTTGAACTTGGCTTGCAGAGCTGCAAGACTGGCAAGGTGGGAATGGGAAAATATATTTAAAAGTTTCTGCTACTGTGGGGAGGGGGGATGGAGGTGGCTGAAGCCAATCTAAGCAGCAAAATTCCTAACTCTCGCCCCCTATTCCTTGTTCCCTGGAACATCTCACAGTTTTTTTTTTTC